TTTTAAAGGGATTTCTAACACAGTGGGAAATCAACTGTTGACAGTAGCAGATTCTCATTATTTTATGTGAAAAGAAATAGGTAGTATACAAATCACCCCATGAAATTATAAACTCTAATATCTTATGAACAGTAAGTACTTGCCACTTTGCAATTGTGCATTCTCTTCCTCTCTTTCCATCTTTCATTTATCTTACAACCTACCCAGAGATGGAGAAGTCCTAATCCATGGATTTAGATCAGAATTACTAGTCTACTTTCCTTATTGGACTAGGATGTTTAAGCTCTTGTGTGTGACATAGAGGCAAATATTTCAGGTAAAGTACAGATGACACTGTACCTGCCACTACCTTAAACTTTACACCAAAGTTTAATAAACATGTATCATTTGTAAGGATAGCAATTCTATTAACATGTGATAATATATATAATAATCACATCTTGAAGGTCAGTAAGTCATAATTTATAGGATTATTGAATACCATGTGTGATTCTTTTGTTACTAACTTACAATTGCAGTGATTCACTTAATTGTGACAAGAAAGATCGTAAAATAGGGCAAAACTCACTTAAGAACAGAAATTTTGAGCTCAATAGTGGTTGTAAATTGAGGACTACCTGTAATAACAGAAGCCTGTTAATTCTGATGTGTTATGTTTAGAGTTATGAAACTTTAATATTGAACAGTTCAAGTGGTGTTAATAGTATAGAACTTCAGACACCTCCCAGACTGCCAAAGTCTTTATATAGTTATCTATGGGATCAAGGAAAGAGGAGGCAGCCAGAAAGAAGCTTGTGACAAGAGTATTAAGAGGGGCTGCTCAAAGATATTAGAGTACTATCTGTGAATATTTTATTTTCTACAGCTTCATCGTTTTGGGTCATGTAACAATACATAGGATCATTTACTTAGAACACTGCAAAACTTCCTTAGTGTACATTTCACACAGGCTTTCTTCTTCACTATTTGGCATTCAAGACTGAGCTCCTTTAACAGCTGTTATGAGTTTTGATGCCATTTAGATTTTTCAGGTAAAACGTATTCCCAAACAATGGACCGCCCACAGCTGGTGATATCACTTATATGACCATGTAAATAAGGAAAAATAAAGCTAACTCGGAAATGGAGACTTTGAATTTTTTTTTAATACCTTGATTTACTTATTGGGTATGAAAATAAAACTAATCACTTTAGCTGTTTGTTCCTTTAATAAACAATGTAAAAATATGGGAAGGGGACAAAAATAAGGGGACAATAAAAAACAACAACAGAAGAATAGTTAAGATAATAGGGTAGAAACCAGGAGACCATGAGTTTTAGTCCTGCTTTAGCCATTATAGCCAACTGGGTGCCCTCCAGCCAGTCAATCTCTCTCAGCCCAGCTCACCTCACAGGATTTTGGTTGTGAGAAAAATGGGAGGAGGAAGCAGTATTAGATATGTTTGCTTACCCTGAGTTATTTATAAAAGTAATAAAAGTGGGATAAATATATAAATGAAATATAGAAATGTTTTACTGGAATTTCTCATTCACGAAGAAATTATTTTCTTGTGAACCTTCAATGCAATGCTTTTGACAGAATAGCTTTGTGTGCGTGGCGTGTGTGTTCATCTGTGAGAGACAGATAGAGGAACCCATGGAAGATAGAAATGAAGAAGAAGCAGAAGCAAGGAAGTTGTTGATAAAAGAGGAGATGGTGAAACAAAAAGAAAAGCTTACCAGGCATAAGAAGAAAATCTAGAGAACTAAAAAACTATGTTTAATAATGGTATTGGAATAAAACTGCAGTAGCATAAAAAAGCAAGAAGCTGTGAATTTATAAATATGGCGGGCCCAAAACTGATTTTTTTTTTTTTAATTTAGAGGGAGTTTGTGCCTCTGAATGGCAAGAAATCATTCTTCTGGTTTTCAGGAATTGTGGTTCGGAATGCATTTGAGGACCACAAAAACAAAACAAAAAAATACAGGGGTCACTTATAATCAAGGTTTTAAGGCTTTTTTGCTTTTTTTGAGAGTCTATTGTATCAGTGAACTTTGCAATGAATATCTTGCATAGGAATGCATAGACATAGACTGCATAGGAAACTAACTATACTCAAATACAAATATCAAAATATTGAAAAATAACAAATATGTAAATTTATTAATCCATTAAATCAATAACAAGACAATTCTTTTTAAGTATAATAATCATAATGAAATTTACTGAAGTTAGCAAACATTTGGGGAGCTAGATATCATTAATTATATTGTTGTCTACATAAATTAATGAATGAAAAGGTAAATTTAAATTAAAGGATTGTGAAAATAAGATTGTAGTTTTTTCCCTATCCAAGTTAACATACCCTCCCTGAAATGTACCGACAAAGGGTTTACAGACTTGGGTTAAGAACCACTGACTTGAACTATAAAGGATTGTTGTGTGAAAATGGGATTGTTGATTAAATCCCTATTTGTTATCAAACATATTGCATGATGATTCATAATCTTTATTCCATAATGTTGTGATTTGTTTTTTTTTTAATCATGCATATCAACTCCAGCTCCCTGTCAGAGGGGGGGGGGATATAATAAATATTGGCAGGAAGGAAATAAATTGCAGGTTTTAGTCAAGTGGTAAAAATATATTTCCAACAGCGCTAATGTATGTTTAAATGCTAATCTTTGCCATAAACTGCTAATACAAAGCTTTTATATGATATGGTCAATGTACAAAAATAGGAAAACAAATCCAACAGTGTTAGGTGTATATATTTCATTGTTCATAATAGCAAGGTCACCATATATTGAAAACCCTGTCCACAAATTATTTATCCTTGGGAGGTATGTTTTATTAGAACAGAATGTTTTTTTTCTGCTGAACCATGACATTGTTGCTGTCACAATTTTATCCACTTCCTTGTTGAACTATATAAGCATTCCATTATCATAGCAACTTTCCCATCACAGAAAACTCCTGATTATATTAAGCACTTTGGACAGATAAATAATATAGGATGTTTTTTTTTTTTTAAAGGTTGCTTTTTTCAGATCTGAATAAATCAAGGCCAGCCCTACAAGTGATAGTATGATGGTGTTAGAGGAACAGTTACCTTCTCCTTTATTCACATTTATATCTCATAAAGAATAATTTGTAATAGTTTTTTGAATCCTTCCCATTTACCAATAATAATGTATAATTCTGGTGCCACATTCCTTGTTTGTTTCAAAACCCCAAATCAGTAGACATTCAAAACAAAGAATGTATCCTGATAGGAAAACTATTTCTAAGGGAATAAAAAAATATTCTTTTCCTCCTCTTGCTTCTTATTTGAACAACTCATTGAATGATAGTTTTTAGGGCATTTTGAAGCATAGTACCACATACACTAAATTGCAAGATTTAAACATTTTAAATTACAAATGGCAGGAAGATAAAGTTCTATAATACAGATTAAAGTGAAGGAGCAACATCAGCAAATCTACTCTCAGAATACAACACTTTCAATAATTTTGTTGGTGCATGTATAGCTGAGCCTATTATTAAGCAAAAGGAGGATTTAGATATTAACAATTCATTTTTATTTATTATATTTTATTGTATTATTACATTTTGGTGATGTCATTCCTGATATTATCTGCCAGATACACCAAAGCAATTGGCTTCAGGAGCAAATTGTAGTCAAGCGGCACCATCTATTGTAGCAGTTTTGGTGGTATATAACACATTCAGCAAAATGGAATGTGAAATGGAGAGTGGCTGAAAATTCCATGGTTCATATGTTAACCAAACAATACAATTACATTGCCAAAACAATTTATTTTCAGAAACACACAAGCACACACACATACTATATATACTTAAATATTTTGACATTCTTTCAAATAGAAATCCTTTTGAGTCCCACTGATAACAACAAAAGAAAATTGGGTATTTCATTTTCCACTTGAAGTCAGTGACACTAAAATGCTTTGGATGGTTTGCACTTTGTTTTTAATTACTATACACTGATACATTAATTAAGTTTCAAATTTACCAAAGGATACAGGAAGAGTTACCCGTTTTTACTTGTTCTCACCCAGAGATTTAGATAACAAATTTAAGAAGACAAATAAGGCCTCTTCCCCAAAAATCTTACACAACCTACTTTCTTTTAATTTCTGGGTCTCTTATCTCCCTTGTTGCATTCATGCTTTGAACAATACACAAAGTTAAAAACCTATGCACAAAATTCTCATAGACAAAACTATAGCCAAGCTTCTACAATAGACAAAAGCTCTGGTCACATGGTATTCAGACTTACATGTCATTGCAGTGGACCGACTCGGCTATCTGGTGGCTTCATGCTTAAAGACTGCCTCCAATAGATATGCTTTGCATTTGGAGGGCAATGAAAACAGAATTCATACCTCAGATGGTTAGTTGAATTCAGCTTCTCCAGGGCCTGCCTCCGATTGTTCTTCCAAGCTGCTGTCTTATTCCTGGAAAAGCGTCTATCAACCCATCCCCATTCTTTCCTCCTTATATTTTCTCCAAACAAATATTGGTGTTTGGTATTGCCTTTCTAATACCATATATCATAGACTCACTAAAGTTTTCAGCTATTAGCAATTAATTCTCACCTACATTTCTACCGATCTCTGTCCTATCTTTGTCACATGCATAATTTTTGTACTGGAAAACCTGGCTAATAGACTATGTCACCTATATGATTTTTACACTGTGAAGATAATAGTTCCTTGACATTAGATCCTAGTGTCACAGCCATGTTATTCATATTCAAGACACAACAAACATTCTTAGAAAAAAGTTTTGAGCCTGTTTTTTTTTCCCCTGACCTTTACCAACTAAGCTTTTCTTGTAAAAAAAAAAGCATACCTACCTCCCACCAACACAATGTACCAACACTAAATACATAAACAGTACTTGCATCACTCAGACATACTTTACAGCATATAGATGGATTTTAAAAGAATGGGAAGGGAGGTAGAAGGAAGGAAAGAAGAAAGTCATGTAATACCTTTACTTTTACCTATGGATTTGATGAAATGGTTCCATGAAGAAAGTATTGCCAGACGGAAGAGAAAACAAAAAGAGAAACAACAGTAAGAGTTGTGTGTGTAAATGTAAATGCCATCACAGTTAAAAACATGAAAAGAGACAAAGCTTGAGGCAAATGATTGAAGACAATGGAGATGCAGTTGGTGTCATATTTTAAGAATTACTGCTTTCCAACATGCACGAAAATACAGAAGTAACCCATGCTTCATTTTTCAAAGGCATGACACAAAAGTAACATGAACACTGAGTTGGGTGGGCAAGGATTTGCACAAGGTGATGAGGACACATCACTAATTCCATTATGCTGCAAAAATATGTTCTTAACATTCCAGAAGCCAAAAACAAATGGTTTCTGCATTTCCCAAACAACCATGCATTAATGCAAAGCAGATTTCTTTTTTTGGGGGGGGGTATAACTCAAGTGTCTTTTTTCATATCTATCTGAAGAGTGCATTTCATATTTTATGATCATCATTATATTTAAACTCATAGCAATCTCTCAATATGATTTTTAGAAATGGCACCCTTTCTAACAATTATTTTATTGTTAGTGGGATAAGGAAAACAATAAAAAATAGAACAAAAAGGTTCAAGACCAAATAGTAAAAAAATAACAGCAACATAAGTTAGATCTATTTATAGACACAGTGCAAAAAAAAAAGGGGGGGACAAAAGATGTAATTAAGACTGTGTGATTATTTACAGCCTGAGACAGCTCACAAGCATTTGGCCATCATTTGTTATGATGGATTTTGAAGCAGCTACACAAAAAAGAAACAAAGAATTTTTATAAAATAAAATAAAATGATCGAAGCAGAGTGGAAAAGGAGCAGAACCCATACCTTGGTCGCCCATCATCAAGTGCGCCAGACCTTAAAGGGAAACAAGAGCACAGTCAGCAATGAACAAGGGTTCAAGGGAAGGTGGTAGTGTCACAGTGACTTTTTAATTTCTTTAATAACAGGTGTCTGTCTCCTGTGAAATATTTGCATAATACTGCAAAGTTAAAGGGGCATGTTTCAACCACCAATTGGAATTCTTTTGGAGGTGGGAATGGGACAATTGTATTACTATTTGAACACAATCATTCTGGATTACCTTTTATCTTCTTTAAGCATTAAAATGGGTTTTAATGACAAAAATAGTAAGAAAATGATTTCAACTTCAACCAATTCCTAGAATATTTGTTCATAAAACTCATAAATACTTTTTTTTTGGCTAGATGGATGCTTCAGCCTGCAGTTATAAAATAGTTTCTTTTTATTTATTTATTCTTCTCCAAACCTGGAGTAGTGTCAACCTGAAGAATGGGCTGGGTCTGATCTTTTTCCTCTCATTGAAAATGAGCGTTTCAAATAATTAAATAAAATAATTACTTTATCACATTGAAATGAAAATGCAAGGGACATTTCCTTGTTTGTGTGAAACATTCAAGCTAAAATAAATACATTTCTGAATATCATCATCATCATATCCAGTGAATGGAAAAACAGTATACTATAAAGTGGAAGGGGGAGTCCTTGTTATCAATTGCTTTGACCAGCTGAAAATGAATTGCGCTTTTGGTTCACCAAAATTAAGCCTATTTCTTAACTATTGTTTTTCAAGATAGTAAAGAACTATATGTTATATAATTCCTTACCAAGCAAATTATTTAAAAAAAATAAAGCTAAACAATATATATATAAATATATTTATATATTTATAAAAAAAATGGGGGATTGGGGACTGTATCATCTTAAAAGAAATATGCATCAAGTTCAACTTTACAAATATTAATAGAAATTAACTTTAGGCAACAGAAACACCTAATTTAAAAACAAAGTCATAAAATATTATTCTATTCCTTTTGGAGGAGGACAGAAGAGTCACAAAATACAGTCTCATGCAGTTCATTGTTACACATTTCTTCACACAAATAAGGTATGAAAAAGAATATGCTGGTTTTCACTGGAAGGTAAGATTCCTAAACTTTACTAAGGTTTTTACTTCACATAGAAAATTGAGCATATATGCAATAAAAAGGTAACATGTTCTCCTAAATTAGGAATGTTTTCAGAAATAGAGTTCATATTATAAATTTCATATTATCAGTCAATCAAAGAAAGAAAATTTTAAACAATGTAGCAAATTTGCACCACAAACTGGGTTCTGTTACAAATATCAATCCTGTGCCTGCATAACCATCTCAATAATTACAGTAACTGTTTTTATTGTAAAGGAATCTATTCCAAGTAAATCCCACTATAAGCAGTAGATGTTATTCTCAAATAAGTTATAAAAGCAGTTGTAAAGTTAAATGCAAAATGTATCTACAGAATGTATCTTCTCTGGATTATATTCCACAGAACTCAATGGGATTTATTGCATAATTGCACCCCTCCCCCATTTTCTTTCCTATGCAGATTTAAAGTTCTTTCTAGCATTAGAAATTGTAATATATACAATGATCAAAATTGTATAATATAAGAATTCCTTTTGAAGGAATGTTATATAGACAGTTGTGGGATTCAGCTAGTTCGCACCACTTCGGCAGAACTGGTAGCTAATTTTTTGTTGCCCAGGCCTAGAATGGACTTCCAGAAGCAGCATCCACACAGAGAACCAGTTGTTCACTTATTTGAATCCCACCACTGGTTATAGAGAAAGTGGTCTCATGGAAAATTCAAAGGGCTTGGATAACATGGATTATCTGAACCACTTTCAGGCTGGGATATGGGACTGAGTTGACTGCGCTCCTGAATGATCTCTGGCAGGAGCTTGATAGAGGCACAATTGCTCTTCTTGACCTCTCAGCAGCCTTCAATAACATTGATCACAGTATCCTTCTGGACCAGCTTCAGGAATTAAGAGTAGATGGCACAGTGTTGTGCTGATTCTCCTCCTCCCTCTGGGGTTGGTTCCAGTTGATGATGATGTGAATGAAGAGGTACAGCACATGGCCCCTGCTTTGTGGGGTGCCACAAGGTTTGATTGTCTCTTCCCTCTTATCTCACATCTACACTTGACCATTGGGTGAGGTCATCTGATGGTTTGGGATGAGGTATCATCAATATGCTGATAATATCCAGCTTATATCTCCACCCTGGGCTGCCTGAGTGATGCCATGGAGTCCTGTTTCAGAGCCTGGAGGCTGTAAGAGCCTGGGTGGGGCACAATGGGCTTTAGCTCAAAATAAGCAAGATGGAGTGGCTGTGGGTTCTTGGGCCTTCTGGTACCAAAGTTTCCCATCTCTGGTTCTGGATGGGGTGGCACTGTCTCAAATGGACCTGGTGTACAAACTGGGGGTCTTCTTAGGCTCACAACTCCTGCTGGAACAGCAGGTGGTTGCTGTGGCTAAGAGGGCCTTTGGGTTGGGTGCCAGCTGCTTTGATTCATGGATCAGGGGGTTCATGACTCCCATTTGGACTACTGCAATGCCCTCTATATGGTACTGCTCTTGGTGATATTTGAAAGCTTCAGCTGGTACAGAATTCAGTTGCATGGGTTGCAAATGGTGTCAGCTACTCAGCATATGTATCATCTTTCCTTCAGGGGCTGCATTGGTTGCTAGTGTGTTTTCAATTGGAATTCTAAATACTGGTACCCAAGACCTTTATGGCTTGGGACTGAGTTACCTGAAGAACCATCTTCTTACAGTTGTTTTTATTCATCCAATCCAGTCCAATAGGATGGGCATGCACTTTGGGCATGCACTGACCAAGGAATGTCAGCTGACAGGGACCAGGAGTAGTGATTTTCTGCATAGTGCCTATCCTCTGAAACATGCTCCCTCCTGAGATAGGATGGCCCCAGCCCTGCTGGTTTTTGGAAGGCCCTGAAAAACAGGTGGTTCCTTCAAGTATGTGAAGGGCCCTGTTTCAATTATGCTGACACTGGTGGATTATTAATTGGTTTTATGATTATTCACCACTTAGAATTACTGATTTGATATGGGTGACTATGCAAAATAAATAAATAATAAATGGATGAATAAATATATTAGGTCTCCTGTCATAAATGGAATTATGAATAATGGAATTTATTCTCACATATTATTCTCATGATATTATTCTCATTCAGATAGAAAGCATAACAATTCATGTTTTTTTTAAGAATATTAGTTTCTTGCATCTGAATTTTATATTGCCTGTGTTATCTGTTAACTATATAAACCCATGCATCGGTCAATGATCATAATAATGTGAAACTGAATTTTTAAAAAGTGCACAACAATTAACTATTTTTTTTTGTTTTAAAATGTAGTGATCTAAAATAAAAAGGGAAGTATGTATGAAACATTGACATATGAATACTTCTTATTGTGTGCCATGAAATTCTTAGTAGGGATTGTTGTATATAGCATGAGGACCACTAGCCTGCTAACTTTGCTACATTTTCTTTATTTTGTTCAGTGAAATGTGAAAGTCTTGGTTGATCAAGGCCACAATGATCAGTGGAGTAAAAGATCCAAGAGTCTTATGTTGATGATCATGCAAGTTGTAACTTGGTATAAAAGTACATGATAAAGAAAATGAATTAACTACACAAACAGAAAAAACAAATAAAAGAAAAAATTGTCCCTGAAACTAAGAAAAATGGGGGAGATACAATTTATTTGAATCAAAGTGATTTTATCACATAGAGTGTTTTTGATGAATGCATAAAAGGAAATAAAATATAGACTTAATTATGGATGTAAGTACTCAAATATATGGCAGAAGGTAAGGGGTTTTTGTACATGTGCATAGATGCATGGATGCTGCATGTTATGGTTTAGTGAAGGATGAAAGAACTTGCAGTGATTTGTTGAAAAATTTTGAAACATTTAGAATGAATGCAATGAGGATATATGATATGAGGCAATGGGCTAGAAACAAGAAGAGTGAAATTAGAGTGGCACTTAGAGACCCAGGAACAAATGAGAACGTTGATTACAGGTGGTCTCCAACTTATGACCACAACTGAGCCCAAAATGTCTCTTGCTAAGTGAAACATTTCTTAAGTGACATTTGCCCCATTTTATGACCTTTCTTGCCACAGTTGTTAAGTGAATCACTGCAGTTGTTAAGTTAGCAATACGATTGTTAAGTGAATCTGGTTTCTCCATTGACTTGGCTTGTCAGAAGGTCACAAAAGGGGATCACATGACCCCAAGACACTGTAACCGTCATAAATATATAACAGTTGCCAAGCATCTGAATTTTGATCATGTGACCATGGAGATGCCGCAATGGTCCTAAGTGTGAAAAACGATCACTTTTTTCAGTGCTGTTGTAACTTCGAACTGTCACTAAATGAACTGTTGTAAGTCAAGGACTTCCTGTATTTGGCGAACAAAAAGAATGGTGTTTTTTAATACCAGTTTTAAATGTGTGTTTTTTATTCATACTTATGCTGTAAAAGCAGGATTAATTTTCTTGTTTATGATAAAAGTCTGAGAGAATCAGTGGACACAAAGTGATGAGAGGATCTGATTGTGGAACAGATTATTATTTGCCAGTATAAAAATTGATACTGAGAAAAAAGATCGTGGAAGAAAGGAAGAGAAAAAAAAATGGAAAAGTGAATGTAGAACAATTATAGAAAGAAATGGCATAAACTGTTTATGAAAAATAGTAACCTGTCTTCTAATTTCAACAGAATGAATAGAAAGAGAATGAAAGGAAAGGTGATACATACTCTGCTTGCAAATGAATAAAGATAATTGTGCTATAAAGTGTCAGACTTCACATCTGGCTCAGATCTCCAGACACTTAACCCTTAATTCACCTCTCAACTAGACTAGATGGAAGACCCCCAGACATAATTTGCCTAGATTAAAAACCATATTGCTGACCAGAATGAAGCTTTAAACAGCAATTGATTGCCAACTGCAAAGCAAAGAAATTACAAAATTCTCCACGTTTTAAGCGCTACGCTTCTTCCTCTCAGTTTTCCAAATTAATTAAGTATGGCCCTTGGGCAGTGGAAGTTTGTTTGAAATAGAAGCCCCTAGGCTGGAGCTTCTGCTTTACAGCAAGTACCACAGCAGTATATGGTGATACTCTAATGAGAAGTGTGAAAAAGATGCCTGATAGAATGAAGAGCTAAGACAATTAAGAAAAAACTGCATGTAAGAGAATGCTATCAAAAATGAGGATGAGAGAAAGGTATTTCTAATGTGTATATAGGAAAAAAATAGTTGTTATAAATGTAATCAAAGAAAGCCATGTATAGTTATGATTAAAACAAAAGAATGATCTTTAGGGCAAAGGCTAAAATGGGCTTCATTGCTTCACATATAGGAATCATTCTGGTGTATTAACCTTGATCAGTTTTGACATGCATCACCTTTTAATGTTTATGCACTGCTCTATTAGGCCATGAACACTTTGCTTGGATGTTACTTTTGGCTGTGTGTGACTGCCTGCAATTATACGCAAAGCAACGTATAAAGAATTTTGATTGATCTCATTCATATCAGTTCATACTGAAATGTGTACAAGTATATAACCTAATTTTTCTTCTCTAGATGGATTTTTAATCAGTTTTGAAAACAATCACTTAATTAGGATGTAAATTCTGTAATCAACCAAGCCAGATGGTTGATTAAGAGAGTGTTTCTGCCTGACCTCGCAGATAACCTGAATGTCAGAGCCTCTAATAGTTTAAGTGCTCTGCTGGTAACAGGTTGGCAGGGAAAAAGTCAGGAAGTGTAATTTACCATCTTCTTTGCCATTTTTAATAATTTATTTGTTTGATTATTTTCTTTCTTATTGGTGGGGATTTGCATAGTTTTAAACTAACTCTTGGCCATGCTGAATTACCGTGAAGGCTTTGGCTCATTTAGCATCAGTGCTTCCCTCAGTTTCTTCCCATGCCATGCCCTCTGCTCCAAAACTGTTACAGCACAGATGGAATCACAGATATTTCTATAGGGTCTAGGACAGGGATGTCAAACTGCCGGCCCGCAGGCAGGTTGCATCATGCAGAGGCCACACCCACCCCAGCTCCAGCAATGCAAAAAAAGTTGTGATATGTTGCAACACGTCACGTGATGTGCTAAGTTTGACACCCATGGTCTAGGATGTAAGATCCAATGACAGGGTTCCCCTCCAAACCCATAGCACATCTGGGGAAGCCAGGTTCACTTAACATCCATATTACTAACTTAACAACTGCAGTGATTCACTTAACAACTCTGGTGATAAAATGGGGCAAAATTCACCTAACTGTTTTGCATAGCAATAGAAATTTTGGGCTCAACAGTGGTTATAAGTGAAGGGCTACCTGAACTTAAAGAGATTGACTTGTTTGCTAATTGTGTTTTCTCCACTCCCAGTTTAAACAGGAAGTGAGATAGTCCTTACATTACAACTATTCATTCAGCAACCATTTAAAGTTACAACGGCACTGAAAAAAGTAACTGACAACCAGTCCTTGCAGTCACAGCTATTGGAGAACCTCCACGGTCACATGATTAAACTCCATAAACTTGAGAAACAGCAAGTTTTTACTACAGTTGCAGCATCCCAGGGTCATGTGATTGCCATTTGTTACTTTCCCAGTTGCCTTCTGACAAACAAAGTCAGAGGAAGCAGAGCAGAGCAAGCGGAAGAGCTGGATTTGCTTAATAACCACTTAATTCCCATAGCAATTGCAGTGGAACTGCAGTGATTCACTTGACAATCATGGCAAAAAAGGTCATAAAATGAAGTGTGGCTAACTTAACTGCCTTCCTTAGCAATGGAAATTCTGGTCCGAAATGGGGTTGTAAGTCAGGGACTACCTGTACCACAAAGATGATATGGCTTGGAGATCTGCTGGTTTTTCCTTTGTTAATTCTATTTCTCATTAGATGATAGACATGTTAATCAAGGTAGCACAAGGAAATAAAAGGAGATCACATGAAGAAGTGTGCATAGACATGAATGATACAATAAGTGAGAGAATATGTAGGCATCAACATCTGGCTCTGTATATTCGTCTTAATTACCAATGTTCTTCAGACACTATTCTGCAACACATATGAATAGCAGCATATATCTTTTTTTCCTCCTTATGAACAATTAGGTTAAAAATTCTTGCTTAAAGGAGAAAAATCCTTAATCTTCTTTACTGAAGTGACCCTACAGAGTGCAATGAAAAGCCAGCTGATTCTCCATGAGCTTCCATGTTTGCCTCATTGGATTCTCAGAGGGTGTTTCCTTTCATTAAGTAGTTGGCATGGTTTTGTTTATACTGCCATATCTTTCTTTAGAACATATTACAGTAACAATTAAAGCCATTCTCCTGAAGTAGAGTGGTTCTGTTTCTATAACTTATGAACCATATGGCATGTTTGGTTGTCCACAAGAGAAGAATTCCTTCTCTCCTTTGCTTCCTGCCTGGGCTACACAATTGGCAAAAATGCAATTAGACCACAACAGATGGTGGATACTGTTTTCTCCTTGGTAGGTGGCTCATCGGATTCCTGTAAACATCAGATAAACAAAACACTAATCTCCTGTATTTTCTATAAATTACAAAATCTACACATACTCATAGATTTTACCAGCTAAAAAATGTACATACCAATACACTAATTTAGCAAGATTGTATGCTATTTTTGTTATTTGTTTTAGAATACTTACTTTAAAATATTTATTAAAGCAAGTCTGTCTCTTTCTGCCATTTCAATAAAATAAATTGTACACAGTCTAAAGGAATTTGGACCACAATCAGATTATCATGAGTCCTTATTATGTGTGAGAGAATAGTAATTCCTGAGGCAATAGTTAAAGAAATGCTGCTTATTAGTAGGCAGCATTTATATTTATCACTTTTTATGACATTGGAATAAATTAAACTCAATGCCAACTGAAAGTCATCACAAACACAATGTTTCAAATGTTAAATTGGGTTTTGGTTAGATTTAGGTTCATGACAATCCTTAGTCTTGATTAAATTTAAAAATGTCATAGTCTCTCACTATAACCTATTCATAGGGATGTTCTTTAAAACAGATGAGAGTGCTACATATGCCATCTTGCACTCATGAAAAAATAACGGAATATACATCTAATGAATAAGAAAAATGAAATTTCATGAATAAACTGATAAATAAACAAATGATTCTTGGAAAACTGGAAACTGGTGTGAATAATTTGAGAATGTGATCCATTATTTTGAATACAGATCGTGTCCTGCCTCTACCATGTAAGATAATAAAATTAAATCACATACTCTTTATACAATAGTATTATAAAATACTCCTAACCATAGTAATATAAGCAATAATCCAAAAGGTTGTCTGCAACCACAGAGAATGCAGTGAATACAGTTTTGTTGTTATTGTTGTTTTCCTCCACTTGATTCCATTAAAAAAGTGCAAAGTCATGAAAGTTTCTACAGATGTACAAGGGAAGTTTCTCCTTTCCTCTTTCTTGAAGCAGTTCCTCAATGTCAAAGTTAAAATTGAACTCCATGTTTTAAAGAAAGGCTTATCATATATTTTGAATTACTATATAGTGTTTTTAGATGTACTGATTATGAAGACAAAGTTAATGCCATATCACAATGTACTTTTTTTAAAAAAAAAATAATCAGTGCAACTTCAAAAGCAAATTATAGACTAGTAAAACCAATCCTATTAGGAAAAAATTAGGAACCATATAAATTCTTATGCATATCCAGGACAGTTTCTTGGTTGTTGTCATAGTCTGAGACATAATGTGTTCATTGGAATATTTTAAATATAACATTTGACTTTATTTGGTTATCAAGTTACAGTGCATGAAAGCAACTTGTAAATAAAATCACCCATTTAATAAGCTTATAGAGCAGAAATAAATATGTGGTACTTGACTTCTACTTTCCCCAACTAACGCTAGATATCATTTGCATTTTTAGCAGTGAATTTTCAGTTGGGGTGGGTGGGTAGGAGAGAAATATCCAGAACCATGATCTTAAGACTTCAACATTCTCATAAAGAAAGAACAAAATCAACTTACCGTTTTAATGATAAGATGTATCATTATAAACACTAACCTGGAGGCAAAACACTAAAGAGAAGGTATATGCAAGGACAGAACAGAGCTTAAAAAATAAGATAGAAATCACCCACCTTCCACATAGTTGTCTTCTGAAAGCACATAACAGGGAGGGAGAGAAAGGGGAAAAACATTCATTAAGCAGCATGCAGACTGGAACTTGCCTTTGCATGTTAGCATCATGCAAGGCATCAAACACCACATGCAAGTGATCCATTGCTATTATCCAAAAGGAAGCAGGGCAGGGGAGACCCGAAGCACAGGGAAGAAGTGTTTGCTCAGTTAAAAGGAAAAGGGAATCCCACACAATATGGAAGAAAAACAAAACATGCCATTTCTCAAATGAAAGGAAAGTTTGATCATTAAATGGGCCTCTGCTGTATCTGGATTCATCTGTCATAAGTTCTTAGATCAGTCAAGGGCTGAATTTTCTACATGAAGAAAATTTTAAACTGAGTGAGAGATAAAACTGCTGGGATCCAAGTTTGCTTGAAAGGTGCACCCTCTGGATTTAAATCCTTTTCTAAGAGGGTAGGAAAACTATTCAGTAGCTAAAGAAAAAACAAGTATAAGTTAAGAAATACTATTTATTATCCTTATATCTTTCATAGAAAAGTTCTTGCATTAGAAAAGATAAGAATTGTCTATTTGGTTTTGTTTTCTTAATTTCTCTGCTCCTGTGATTTTTTTTTGTTTTGTTTTGTTTTGTGCAAGAGTTTCCTGGATGATGTTTTTCATATTATTCATCTTTGTGCTATAAAGTACTTCATCTATTAAATGGCCTTACCTACAGATTAAAAACACTGAAGAAGCAAAGCCATTAAACATTAAGGTTAAAATGGAACCCTAATTTAAAATACTCTCTGGCTCTAAATTTGGTAAATTGCTCTAAGCTAAGTCTTCTACAAGAATAATTACATCATCCATGTATTTTACTGAGTGTGATCATAACATACTGCATGTTTTGAAATTATTCTATTGAAAAAAAAAATAGCCAATTTCTTAATAACTTTGATTTTTGTAATCCAGATGGGCAATAAATATTGAACATGGAATACACAGTTATGGGAATACATTTTTAATGATTTGTTATGTATGCTTTGTGAGTTGTGTTTAGCCTGCTACGTCAAATGGTGTGCAGGAGTGCAATATAAATGGTTGTGTGAATTACAGTCACACAGAGTCAAACAAGAATTCTTAACCCCACAGGTCATTTAAAAATGAGATATTGATAACATAAATGTATATAACACAATACTAGTGTGATCAAGGACATACAATTGAGAATAGAAAGTGGCAAACAAGTAGCACCCAACAGATCAAACTGACTGAAGTAGAAGTGATATGAATTTACAGTAAGTGCTAGCTAAATTTGAGGATACACTTTCTCCCTGAGATGATAAAAACAGAGTTATTGTCAATCTCTTGGCAAACTACATTTGTGCCCGCTGGCCTGAACTTGGTTTCATGTAATACTAGTAAGCAGAAATTAATCAACTAGTAATCAAAACATAGGAAGTCAAGGAAACAAAAGTTGACAAATCACAAGATAGATCAGGCAGAATTAATCATATTTGATCCTAATATTCCTTTCATATTTAAATCATACCAATGTCTACATAGGAAAGAAATGGCACCTTACTTCATTTCAGTTCCTAATTAATTCCATCACATTTGAAACTTTCACAGATATCATATGGTTTCATTTGTAATGTTATTCATACAATGCTACATTTACTCCTCAATATCAGCTCCAGATCTCAGAAGATCCTTCAAAACACACCTTCAATGAACTCCGTTCCCTTCATGAGTCACCAACATTTTCCTCATCATCATTTTTTCTGCTGTTGGCCAACCAACCAGCAAGAAAGCAATTGAAGTTATAGCTGCTTCACCTTACTAGCATTAATTGCTCATTCCATTTGAACACAGCAAGACACTAGAAAAACCAATTTAAGAAAAAGAGCAGGACTAAAAAGCTTCTGTCAATGGATGATCTCAGGATACAAGTAATCAGTACTCAGAATGGATCACTAATGCAGTCCAAAGCTATTGGCCCTGCTAAGCCTTTTTAATAGATTACTTTTATCCTGCTTTTATTATTTTTATAAATAACCCAAGGCAAAGAACATATCTAATTCTCCTTCCTCCCTTGACTCCCCTCTCCCATCACATGTTCTTTACCTGCCTCTTCTGCTTAACGACTCCTACAACTTGGGATTATGACACCAACTGGGACTGCCGGGCTTTGTTGTCACTAAGTGATGCAATCACATGACTTCACATTCTATGACCTCATTGCTTAGTGAGGGCAATCCCAGTCCCAACTGCTCTCATAACCCAAGTTCTCCTTGTACTGAATGCTTCCACCATCCTATTTTGGAAAGAAATTTCAGATGGTCTGTGACATTCAAAACATATTAATCATTTCCACGATTGGATAATTTGGAAGAACAGAACAAAGAAAGAATCTGTCAAATAGTTAGGAACACTGAACAACAGTATTTCTGTAGGATTTCACAAAGGCATCTTGTTTTATCCTTCTTGGAGATGGCAGAGATGGAATCTGGATGTTGGAGAGACTGTCTTCTGTTTTTTTTCTTTTTAGCTTTTTATTGTCTCTTTTATTTATTTAATTTATTGATTAATCAAATTTATATAGCTGCCCATCTCACTGAAGGAAACTCAGCACGGTGAACAAAATCAAATAAGAACAATGAATAAAATCAAAAGTGTACAATGTAAAAAAAACACCTTATTAATAAGTATAATAAAAGTGAAAGATACAAACCACAGGAGAGGGAGAATAAAAATGATCACTTCAACAATGGAGCCATATGGGCAAGTTTCCTGTTGCCATCCCAACAACATAGCCAAAACTTTGAGAGTTTTACAAAATATTTGTTTGTTTGTTGTTTGTTTGTTTATTGGCAGCTCATATTACCACAGGTTAACTCTGGGCGGCTTATGAAAAGGGATGGAGCTAATCTAATTTCAGGGGGAAGAACATTCCATAAGGTGGTTGCCATAGCAGAGAGGGAATTTCTCCTGGGATCCACCAAATGAATATCCCTAGCCAATGGTACCCACAACATGCCAACTGCCAGATCTCTGCCAGGGTGCACTGATGCAACCAAGGAGAGGAAATACCTCAAATAACACAGTCTCATGTTGTTAAGAACTTTAAAGGTTAAAATCAGCACTTTAAATTGGACCCAGAGGCAAACTGGTAGTCAATACAGCTCGCAGAGCAGAGGTGTAATGTGCTGCTTTAGGACTCACATAATAGCTTGCACCACTGCATTCTGCACTGCACCAGCTGAAGCTTCCAGATATTTTGAATGACATTTAAATGTGTTTTTTCTCCATGTCCAAAAGAGACAATAAAAGGGACAATAAAAACAGCTGAATGCCATAATCCAAATTAAGGTTGGGAAGGGAGAAGGATTTTATTGCATCACTCAAAACGTTTTCAGTAAAGTGAAATGGGATTATATTTCAGCATTAAGTGTGCATTGGGTTTGCATTTTGCACACTGGATTCTCCTGTTTATATGTAGAAAGATTTTGCATGTGGCTCTTTCCTAGGGATGCCAAAATCTAAATGATATTATCAGAATTAGATTTTTATATATAGCTTAATTGGCATTTAATGGTTGTCTGGATTTTTGCAGCTAAAATAACATATTCCAATAACTCTGTTCTTCCCAGAAATGTACAGTAACAATAGTGTACAGAAATAATTCCCTTTTATTTCTTCTCATTATATTTTGTAAAGTAATGTAAGCTACTTACAACCAGTTTTCAAAGTTGCAGTGGCCACAATCACACCATGGACACATGATTGCATTTTGGGTGCTTGGCAACCAGCTCACCTTTACAACTGTTTATAGTGTCCTATAGTCACATGACTGCAATTTACAGGTTTTTTACCAATTTCTATTTCTGGCAAAAGCCGTCCACAGGGGCACATTAATTCCTTTAATTACTAATGCCAAAAATCAGGTCTGGTTATGTGATGCTTTGATTTATGACCACAGTGACTTATGACCATAATGTGAGGCTTAGTTGTTCTCATAAGTCAAGGATTGTCTGTATCTCCCAGATGTCTGACCAGAAGGGTCTGAATAAGCTTCTACTTGCCCCTAAAATCCTCCCAACCCAAATATTTACTTGCTTTCCCTGATTAACTAATAGAAGTATAGATGGAAACATACAGTCCAAGATTACCTGGAACATAATTGTACTATGTTGTACACATATCTGAAATTCTAAATTACTAGAATTTGTGAAACACAATTGGATCAATGTAAATAAAAAAAATAACAAAGTGAATATATAAAACAATCTTGTTTCAATGCCAATCTTTCTCCTAGCCTCATACAGACCAATGGCATATTTCCTACATAAATTAAAGATTCAGTATTCTATTTTAGATGGTAAACCTGTGTATTTGGTTTACATCCTTATGTAGATATATGTAAGTATTAATGATATATTGATGTTTTTTTTAAAAAAACTGTTAGTTGGGAGTTGCCCAGAGTTTGATAAAAGTTGGATGGCTGTATTAAAATTACTAAATGTTTTAAATAAATAAATAATTGACAATCTTGTTTTGTTTTGCTCTTTCCCAGCAGCCCTTTATAAAAATAAGATTCAATCTCTCCTTTTGAGGGACAATTCTCCGTTTTCCTTTCTTATGAACAATTTTTCATCTCTCTATAAATGAAGCTCCATTAAGCAGGATTCAGCTCAATCTGTATTCAATGCTAGCATTAAACCTTATGAGAATATATCTCCTAGAATGTATCAAATTTTTCTCCACCCCTGAATAATTGTTCATAATATACACTATCATAAAAATATGTATCTGCTACTACAAATTTGTTTCCAAGCTAGTATCTTTGCAGAAAGGATAAATACAAATGATTAAATAGTTCTTTTAATGTTTTATTTATTTATATCCCATTTTTATTATTTTTATAAATAATTAAAGGCAATGAAAATACCTAATACTCCTTCCTTCTCCTATTTTCCCCACAACAACAATCTGGGAAGGTGGATTGGACTGAGAGAGAAAGAGAGTGACAAGGCCAAAATCACCCAGCTGGCTTTGTTGCATAACATGGAACTAAAACTCCCAGTCTCCTAGTTTCTAGCCTAGTGCCTTTAGTAAACTAACCTAGCTAAGGCTGGTGGAGTGAATGCAAAGGTGAGGATGCAGTTTATCAAACCTGAAATGTTCCATGCATGGTTAATTTAAAAGAAATATTTTGCAAAGAATCAAGTTGCATTTTATCTCTCAATTTTGGTTTCAATGGTTTTCACAGTTCTTGTCAAATTAGCATTCAGTGAAGACTGCTTGCTTTGAAAATGCAGCCTCTGCCACTTTTTATTCCACATCCATCATCCACCCTATCTTGGTGCATATTTTCTTTTTAGAAATATTTTCAAAACCCATTTAAAAACTATTCATTGGAAAAATGTTCTCAAGGTTGGAAGTTTCAATCCAAAAAGGAAGGCATTTGCTTTGCAATGGCATGATCTTACTTTCTTCATTTCCCTCCTCAGCAATATCACTGGCTCACTTCTGCATCTTAAAATTTTCTAACCACATTCAACTTTGTCTGAAACCACCAAAATATCTTTGTATGAATACCACGTTATAAATTAACCCCCCCCCCCAAAAAAAATAACTCTGCAAAAATGGTTATCCAAACTCTTTTTGAAAACCTCCAGCTCTACACTACTTTGTTTTTACTCTACTTTTATTTTTATTTTAATCTTTTGAGTCATTTTGCATAATTTTCATGTCATTGGGAAATTTAGATTTCTGAATATAAATTCAGATTGGGACTGAATCTCTACAAATCCCTACAAGTTGAATAAATGTTTATTTATAGAGAAGATAATTATTGAACCATTAATTAAACTATTGGCTACACAGGGAAGCATTTTAGAGTTTTCAGCTGGTGGTTTGTTGTGCCAATATAATCCTACTTCACCAGAATTCCCTTGCAATAGCTATTCACACTATAATCACCACTCATCTGGACTACACGCTGTTCATTGAGACAGCCTCAACATGCCACATACTCTTTGGAGAGAACCACAAAGCTATAGCTGTGACAATATGCAACAGCTGGAATACTGGCAGATCAACCCTGCCAGTGCAGAATAACACCTTTGGTAACTGCATTGGTTACCAGAAGGCTTCCCGGACGAGTTCAAAATGCTGTTAAAATAAAATCTGCCTGTCTGGTTTGATGATTTTGAGAGGGCCTGCTAAGAGTATCTTTGCTTTTGTGAGGTATTTACAGTACAAAGTGGGAGGCTTTCTCAGTAATAGGTCCCGTTTTGTAAAATTCTCTTCCCCAGACTTATCCTCTTGACATTTTGTAATTTCTTAAAAATAGCACTATTCCATAATGTCTTTGGTCCAAGATAAATGAGGGTGTCATAATAATCTTAAATAGGAACTGTGTTGTATCAGTCAGTTTTGTTTTAATTGTGATGCTGTTGTTGTTCTAACTTTTTTCTTTACAAAGAGTCTATTGGGAGATATTAAAAACTCTTTAAAATAAATAAACACAAGACCAACTTTAGCTGCATGAAGTTAGTTTGGTATATATGCCTTCTGTGTTGTTTTAATTTTAGTTACTCCATAAAATAAAGGATCAGCAATTAGCAATTCAGCAATTCACCTTCTGTTATTAGAGAAATAGAAATAAACAGCAATAAACAAGTTTTAATATATATATTGGTACTTGGTGAAAAGATAAGTATAAGATAACTATAAGAGATATCTGGTAGACTCACTGTGCTGATGGATAAGTGAAACAAAGCTGTAAGTGACACATTTTAAGAGTCACTAAAATGACAAAGGAACTTAGTAATCCTTGAATATCTATACAAGATGCATTTTGAAGTTCTGCATTTGTAAAAGTTAAATAAAAAACATTAAAAATTAAAATGGTATTGATGGCTTCTTCTCATTGTCTGTGCACTATATACATTTACTTCAATAAAGCACAATAGAGCTGCTGCATATGACATCACAACCTATCAAGGCATTTGTTTATAATATATATTGTTTTTTTAAGAAATATAATAAGCAAACTTTATTATCCAGAAAGATGATATTAAAAATGTGATGCTAAGTTTATTTGTACCATCAACATATTCTAAGAATTAGCTAGAATAGCTCATGATAAAATAAAAATGCTTTAAACAATATTTCAATAAAAGTATATTTCACTAATCTATTTCTCACATCAGGGAACAATTGCGATAAAAGTGATTATTATAATACTACATTATTGCAGTCTGCGATCAAAATATATAATAAAAACATATTTCACAATCTACATTCTTACAGGTATTAGATTATATGTATGCTTGGTTGTATGTATGCATGTAAGGGGGGGAATGTGTGTTAGGTGAGGTCACTAGGACATTCATAGTCCCGAATCTTTGGGGGCTTGGTTTAGGGGATGGGGCTGTTATGG